CGGCTCCCAGCTCCCTGGAGAAGTGAAAGCGCGGTTCCCACGGGGCGCGCTTTTAAACCCTGGGGGACAGGTCTCTGGAAAGCCCCGTTTTCCTCCCTCAAAGAGGCTGGGAGTTTCCGACTGGGGCTGTACCTTGCGCGTTTTGCCGGGAACCACGTCCTCCTGCTGGCCCTGGGAGCGGCCAGTTTGGGGTTTCTATTTCTTGCTATTTAGGGGCTCCTTGGTGGCGACAGGATTAAGTGGACAAAATTCTAAATTATAGGCTCTTGCTGAGATCGAATCTATTTTATTTGTACCAAATGCGGACTTCAAATGGACAAGGGCAGAGCGGGGGACCTGGGCTCCGTTGACAGTCATGCGGCCAATGTAAAGAACCCCGAAGTTTGCTGGAAGGAGAAATGGGGCAAAGAGACGCGAGGGGAGGGGATCTGCGGAGGGGAATTGGGATACTGTCTGAGTAAAAGGAGCCGGGTGGGAGAAGGCGGGGAATAGGGAGCAGCTTGCTGGTCCGTTTGATGCCTGGTTTGTGCACTTTCCTGTCTCCACCAAGGGATCAAAGAGCCCTTTCCCCTCTGGTAGGTATTAAAGAATCAAGACCTGACATCGCCCAGAATTACCAGATCAGTGACAAAATAAAGGGGCAGGGGTCACAGAGTAGAAGACAACCGTGGAGGAGATTTATGATGGGCGTCCTCCGGAAGTTCGTGGGGAATAGAAATTAGGTTATACACTGCCCCCCTGGCCCGTTTGGCTCAGTTGGTTGGAGCATCGTCCAGAGAATCAAAGGGTAGGGGTTCAATTCCGGTTGAGGGCACGTACACAGGTGGTGGGTTTGATACTTGGTCAAGGTGTGTTCAGGAGGCAACCAATGACTCTCTCTCTCTCTTTCAAATCTATTTTTTAAAAAGAACTATTTGTATATTTTTTAAAAAATTAGGTCTATCCCTGTTTTCCTTACACTGCCCACGGGTCTCCTGCAATTTCTCTGTCTGGATCCCTCCTGGTTCTAGCTACTCCTTGCATCACCTGTGACCTGAAGTGAGAGCTAAAACAAGGAAAGGAAGCCAGGGTGTCCATCATGAACAAGGAGCCTTTATTTCCTGAAACGTATCCATAAGGATCTTGTACCGTAAATTGCTATCAGCTAGCAATGCTAGAACTCTAAACTTTGAATAATGACGACAAGTGGCTTTCTGCATATTTTTCAGTAGATTTCACTAGAAGCTTAAGAATAGGGTTACTCGTTATCCTTTTTCTTTGCTACTTCTTTGGAGAGTTGAAGTTATTGAGGACCTACTATGTGGTCCTCAACTGTGCTATCTGAGGACAAAAAAATTGGAATAGTAAGAAAAACAGCAACCTGAGAAAGATTAGGAAAACTGAACAAGCACCACATCAATGTTGAAACGTCCTAAACAAACATGGAAAAGGACATTTTGTAGGACTAACTTATATGTCTTATTCACATGTGAGATTTTTTTCCTGGTTTCACCTCTGACACATACCCTGGTGTGCTAACAGCAAGTAAGCAGTGTCCTTCTTCCTGAGATGAGGGGATGATGTGGGGTCCAGAGCTTGGCCAGGAAGTACCTTAGTGAGTCCAGGAGGAACAAGGTGGGGTGTTGCACATTCCCCTTGACTACACACCACAGTTTTTCTAGGAAGCAGGTTAGCTTGCTGGCTAAAAGCTGAGTTTCTAGACTCTTCAACCTGACAAACCTGGCTTTGAAACTTGCTTCTTACCAGACACATTATGTATGGGGCAAAAAAGTTTCTTTGGGCTCCAGATTCTTCATTTGCAAAAATATTAATAATTGACATCCTATATAATAAAAGCCTAATATGCTCATTGTCCAGTCATCCAGTCAGCCATTCAACCAATCAAAGTGTAATATGGTAATGATATGCTAAGGCCGCTCAATTGCTCTCAATGACGTGCACTGGTCACCAGGGGGCAGACACTCCAACCGGTAGGTTAGCTTGCTGCTGGGGTCCAGCTGATCAGGACTGAGTGAGACAGGCCAGACAGATGCTGGAGCCCTCCTGCGGCCTCTCCCTGGCTGGCCAATATCCCATGTCTCTCCCCAGCCCCGATTGTGCACCAGTGGGGTCCCTCGGCCTAGCCTGCACCCTCTCGTAATCTGGGCTGAGGGAACAACCCCCCCACCCC